TCCCTCTTTCCCTCTTCCTTACCAATCTACAGAACCTATCCTTTGTTCTTCAGCTCTCTTTGAGCGTTATCAAAGACACATAAACATATATAATCATGGTGATATAAAAGCTGGCAACCCGAAGGGAGAAATCAATTAATAAAACTGATTTTGTTTGGATTATTAAGAAGACCAAATTGTTTAAAATTCGATTCAAATTAACATCACAGAACCAAAGAAACAAACATAACGCCAGAAATTGGGAAAATTTTGGATTTCTCGAAGAACCAAATATACAAATGGCCATTTGTGATTTGATATGACTGTGATGTTATAATATTCGGCACCAAAAGACAAAGTTTCGACACAAACAGAAAACGTCAGCAAAAAAAAAATGCCGGTTTAGGGAGCTTCCTGGTATCATTACTGCCCCACCGTGTGACAAACATGACGGCCAACATGTCCAACCTGTTAGAGATCAAACATCACAGCTCTGTGTTAGAGAAAACATCTTTGTTGAAAACATTTTGAAAGGCTTATCAAGTAATTGAGTTCGACATGGTAGCCGTTATATTTGCAGTAGACAACCGTCAGAAGCAGTTGAGGAGATCAAAATGCAAAAGACTGGAACTAAACAAAGTGTAGTGAGGCTGGTTGTCAAACATTGTGGTATAAAATATGTGTCCTTAATTAAGATATATGCTAATTGCTAGCAAGCGTATAGGTTGACATTAACTTTGTTTTCTTCTACTTAAAGGTAAGCGGAAAACTGTACTGTTCTTAGGCTATATCAGTAGACTTCTTGTGTATCTTACTGTTAATGTACTAGTATAATTTTTAACTTCCTGTGATTTTCATTAGATGTTACTTCCATAGGTTATAAGAAGCGTTGCTAGTCGACAAGACGCCATGATGTTAAAATGGCTACGCTTTAGTGAGCTTTAAACATTTCCTTTAGAGTGAGACTCTGCTTAAAGTTAGCTGTAACCAACAATGTGCAGGTGTTGTAGTTGTAAGGAAAATATAATCTAGGATCTAACATACAGAGGTGCTGCGGACTGTGTCAGGTATTGTGAGATATCTACAGATATCTCCACGTGAAGGTAAATTAGAGCTACCATCATTTACTAACCAGGAGAAGTAATAGCTTAGTTACGTATAATCGTGTATGTGCATTTTGCTTTTGAAGCTTTTTAATAGATCTGCAGTTTTGGTACCAAATTCATGTGTTTGTCATCTTTGTGTACTTGATTCCTTAGAAGAATTATTTCTACATGTAGGTTCATTTTATTTATCCTTCCTAATCTGTATGATCACTCTTGTTCAAAATAATTTCATAGATGTTTTAGTATATTAGTATCGATTTAATGAAGGAAGCAACCTTCATTGTTTTACTTTCTGTTATCACCGAATGCAAAAAAACAACAACAAAAAAACAAACACTGAAGTACTTCAGATCACAAGGCAAATACCGGTTAATGGACTGCCATATTCAAATGCGTGGCAAACGTGAGAAAGAAGGTGTGAAAAGTGACCTGCCTGAGTGAAACCGCATCAAAAGCACACATTCATAGGGCAACTCGGCCTCTAAACTGTCCATTTTATATTAATATGATAATAGTCTATACTGCTGAAGGCATCTAAACGCTAAGCTGAACAGGCACGATTGCTCTCTGACCTCTCTCACCAGCTGATGATGGCATGCAAACTCATGCCTTTTTTGCGACCTGGACACCCCAAAAATAGCCCAAACTCCATTTTTTTTACATAATCAAATGCAAATAACTCTTACCTATAACACCCAGCTCCAAAAAAAGCAACAGTCCCCAACATTAGGACATTTTACACTGTTTTTGTACATGACATGAGGTGCTGAAGGCTCTCACTTGGGGCCCTCTGGGCATGCGCGTATGCAACCTTGTACCCCCTCCCCCAGGGGCAATGCATCATGGGAATGGGAAACTGGTGAATGTTGAAGGTAGCAGAACACAGTTTTCGCCCTATGAGGATTTCTATAGTTAAGGACCCCAAGATGACTCACTTCGACGCAGTAAAAATTATAGTAGGTTGCACTTCACAAATACGAAATTAAGATATGTTTGAGAAGAAGTTACAAACTACAAATATCGAGAAACCAAAAAATCCTGTCGGCGTATCTGCTCGTAACGTACACTTTGAAATCGCCTCCTACGGACGTGACCTGAACTGCAGCCGACTCACCCGGAAAGCCAGTTGCGTAATACATGTACAGCGCATTTATACACGAACTGCAAAACTTTCACAATTCAAATCATACAGTCTCAAACCCGATACATTCCTACACTACACACCTGGCTGATGCTCTTATCAGGCTTTCTACCCAGCCTTCAAGAATATTCGCTGTACTAGTTTCTATACCCGCGTCATTCGCCCATTAATACTGTGTGCTGCGACCTTAATGATGAGGTGAGTGGGCGATACCACTATTAAAATTGGGGAATTCATATAGCATTGATATAATGCAACTGTCACCCAACCCCCGCCACATGTGTAGTGAATTTCAATAAAAGCAAATATATGACATTTTAAGTTTTAAAAAGATTAAAAAGTGAACGAACTCATAATAAAAAGGCCACATTTCTACATTGCATATTTCATTTATTTTATTTTACTTAACTTTATTAGATACCCCCTGGTACCATGTGTAATTTGAAAACGACAAGTTCGAAACATGAGTCATCTATGAGTCCATGATGATTGAAAATTGATCAATATTCGAAATTGCACAAAGAAACCATTCATATGCCTTTTTGTTGTATATATATTGCTCAATCTCTCTCTCTCTCTACATATATATATATATATATATATAGACAACAAAAAGGCATATGCATGATTAATGAAGAAATACTACGGAATATTCTGTTACATTTTGCCAAGCTCCATCTACATCGACTTCGCGGATATTCACACAGGTGTGTTGCAGTCAAAGGTTTAAAAATTGTAATCCTCCGGTATGATATTCAGTCTATTTGGGCTAATTTCTACAATTTTCAGCATCTGAGGAGCCTAATAGAGGCTAAAGTTTGCTCTGAATCCTTTCCACGAACTGGAAGACGTTCTGCATAGGCGAGAGGTGTCCGAACTTGGGCGTGATGTTACAGCGGGTTTCCCACGCCGGCAACCCGGAGCCCGGCAGGATCTCGGACCTACAACAATGTGAAGAAACTTCATCTGTGACATCTATGGCAGTCTAAATACCTGTTGTGTCTAAGTGATTTTGGCATCATCTTTTATTGTCTTTGAGATTGGTCCGTGTAGTTTGGGGATAGGGCTGTAAAAGTTTTTTGTTAAAAGTAGTTGTGTATGTATATGTACTTGTACTTGTCTCCATGATTTCAATAAACAGATGTAAAAAAAAAATTAAAAAAAAAAATAAAAAAATAAATAAAAAATCTCGGACCTGTGGAGTCGGCTGGCGGACTGCCGAAGTTCTGCGACGGTGCTGGAGAGGTGACGGCCCTGAAGCACTTCCGGGTCATCACGGGTCGGGTACAGGTCATCACCTGGGCCGGAAACAATACGGCATAATGTTTATTCAAAATTAAAACTTTTCATCCAACAAAAAAATTATATATCTCACCGAGAGCTTTCGACCAGTCACTCTGGTCTTCCTCAGTAGACTGACCCAGTGAAGCTTGACACGTTCTTTGAAGTGTGACGTCAACACTGGGTCAAATGTATCTGGTAGACAATGTCGGCCCCCGTCGCGGTTGAGTCTTTTCTTACGCAGCTTGTATTGGTGTGTTGCACTTGGAGAACGTTTACCTGGCATGCAAAACAAACAAACAAACAAACAACGTACCGGGTAGAGCAGAAACTTGTCCATCTTCACATGGAAAAACCACGGGTAGCCACCTCTCGCAACCCTTCGCACCCCTCTCCCGGCTGAAGTGGTGCAGGTCCACCAGACTCTGCAGCTGGCACAGGCGGGAGAGTTCATACACTTGCGGGGGTGGAATGATGTGTTTTCCTTGTCGAAAGTCGTGCAAGACTTCGGCGGGTGTGAGCCACTGCAATAGAGAACAAAGCCAAGAGGACAGGTTATAAATAGATATTTACTAGTATATTTCAGTGTGAGCCCTAGAGCCAAGGAGCTAGCCTGTGTAGGCCCTGGAGCCGAGGAGCTGGCCTGTGTAGACCCTGGAGCCGAGGAGCTGGCCTGTGTAGGCCCTGGAGCCGAGGAGCTGGCCTGCAGTGTTGGCCCTGGAGCCGAGGAGCTGGCCTGTGTTGGCCCTGGAGCCGAGGAGCTGGCCTGTGTTGGCCCTGGAGCCGAGGAGCTGGCCTGTGTGGGCCCTGCAGCCAAGGAGGTACTAGTAGCCTATGTATACCCTGTGAATATTCTGGCTCCCAGGCTATGCCTAGCTATCTAACGACTCACCTGTGCCTTGACGATCTCCCGGTCGTCCCTGGCGGCGGGAGGTATGTGGTCCAGACAACAGATGAAGAAAGCGGTGTCGTAGCGCCGCCTGTTGGGCATGGCCGGTATAGTAGGCGTCAGCCAGTTGGACCACTCGTGCAGGGACCAGACGTCTGGGACACACCTATGGCATTATATCAATATATCAATATAGAATCACATACTTGTTTTTATGTTTACCGAAGGAAAACATATTGTTTTTGCTCAGTTTCTTCCTCTTCTTCTCCAAACACTAACCCTTGACCTGGCCAATAACCTGATTTGTTGACGTCTGTCGCCATGGTAACTGGTGTGTTATATCACGTTGCAATCTTATAGTAGGAGGGATTTAGACTCCTGTCTGACCATATATATGAATGTATTTGAGAATTAACAGAGCAGACCATGTGCGAAGGTAAACATTATGCGTTTACTTTTCAAATGTTACCTTTCTAGTTAATTATGCATTATGATTTAATACAGACCGTCAACTGTTGTTTAAAGTAACATTGTTATGTTTACGTTCGCAGAAGGAAAATATATTGTTTTTGCTTTGTTTCTTCTTCCTCTTCTTCTCCAAAGAAATAAGGTCAATGACCTGAACCGGACGTCTGTCACCATGGTAACTAGAGTTAGGTTACATCATGCTGCAATTCTATAGCAGGAGGGATTTAGACTCCTGTCATAATATATGTGAATGCTTTTGAGTAAGAAGTAACAAAGCAGACCATATAGGTAAACATTATGCATTTGCTTAGCAAATGTTACATTTCTAGTTAATATACATAATACATATATAATTTCATGCGGGCTGTTAACTGCTGTAGCATATATATTTTAAGTTTTACCTGCATTCGTTGCAGAGCTGTAGGAACTCCCTTGCGTCCCCGTCCACGCGTTTTCTCCAGCGGGCCAGCTCAGACGCTGGAAGGGGCCACCCCGCCTGTCCCATGGCCCTCCAGGGCCTCACCAGAAGGACACCAGACTCCTCAAAAGTCTCACGTATGGCGCTTATCCTGTACCCAACCTGGACAAGGGTCAAAACCTAGAGAGTCAGCTATCATGAACTGGCACCTAGAGACCAGAGACGTAAAAAAAGGAACTTCCAATGCAGTACTTTGAACTTTGAACTTTATTTCGCCTTCACATCGGCGGCACATACGGTCGCAATGCCGTGTGCAGAATTACAAGATTAAAAACAAATTGTGTACAAAGTAATGAGAATAATGAGAAACTTAAACAAGGGAAAACTGAACAAATAATATAAATAATATAAAGGCAATAAAGCATTGTTACAAGATGCAAGTATATGAATGGGGGGGAACATTGTGGTTCTGTCAAAACGAACTTAGGATAAACCAAATGAAGGTAACTGTATTGCTTAAGAGACAGATGTGTATGTAAAAATGTGGTAACATAAAGTAATTATGAAGGTACAAGACTCTTGAACTTAAGGAATGTAACATATAAGGATGTAATATTAACTTAAGTAATACAATAATGTAACTTAGGATAAACCAAATGAAGGATAAACCAAATGAAGGTAACTGTATTGCTTAAGAGACAGATGTGTATGTAAAAATGTGGTAACATAAAGTAATTATGAAGGTACAAGACTCTTGAACTTAAGGAATGTAACATATAAGGATGTAATATTAACTTAAGTAATACAATAATGTAACTTAGGATAAACCAAATGAAGGATAAACCAAATGAAGGTAACTGTATTGCTTAAGAGACAGATGTGTATGTAAAAGTGTGGTAACATAAAGTAATTATGAAGGTACAAGACTCTTGAACTTAAGGAATGTACCATATAAGAACGTAATATTAACTTAAGTAATAAGATAATGTAACTTAGGAAAAGGAATTAAATAATACAACAATAACGTAACTTAAAGTAAATAAGAAACTTGACGTCACATAAATAAAGTTAAAATAAATAAGTAAATAAGTAAATAATGCTGCTTGAATAGTGGAGTGAAGGTGGGAGACAGAACAGCTTGGAGAAGGATCCTCAGTGTCAGTTGGTAGGGGTGTGTTTTCTGCACAGCCATGCTCTATGAATAAATTCCTTAACATGCATATCTATGATGGACTCCCATGGGCCATGATATCCAAGCAGAAAGTGTTTTTTCAAGGTGAGTGTGCCTGACATGAAAGCTTGAAAGGGGAGTCCACCCCCTACCTGTAATAGATCATATTCTAAATTTGTGTACATGGATGTTCTTGCTATGTTGTATTTGGGGCATGTGAGTAAAAAGTGGTCTACTGATTCTACTTCCTTAAGGTTGCAGTTATTACACTTTCCATCTCCTTTATAGTTTTTCCAGTGTAGTTTTCTCCCTTCCAGTTCCAACACATTAGCTCTAGCTTTGAATTTCAGTATGCTCTTCTCAGGGTTGGTGGGGTCGTTTAGGTAGTTTTCGAAGCTTGGTTCACATTTAACGTTGCATATCACTGATGAAGGTTGACTACAAGACATGGTGTTTCTGAAGGTGTCTAGTCGCAGTGTTTCGAATATTCTTAATGCTGAGTTGATCCAATGTAAGTTTATGGGCGAATCATTACACCATATGTGATCTAACCCTAGGGACGTCAGTAAATTTTCCATGTGTTTGGTCCAGTTCCAAGGTATGTGCTTACCTGCCTTGCTTAAGTTGAAAATCTGAAGAAGTATTATCTTAGGCCATCTGTGGTTCTCCATTTTGATGAGTCTATCATAGAATTTAAGTCTGAGTTTGTCCTGGGAGTGTGTAAGAGGTTCCCAACCCATCTCTCCTTGTATTGTAACTTTACTGGTGCCATTTGGTGCCCTAAAGAGAAATTTGCCATACTGGTATTGTATACTATCTAAGCTGTTTTTATCTTTGATGGAGGAGGGGACCCATATACTGCTACTATAGTTTACACTAGGTACAATGATATTTTTCCATAAGGTGTCCCCATACGAGAAGCGATTAAAACCATTATGACTAAAAATCGTAGATTTACAGGCTTCCACTATCCTGTTAGACTTTTTAAGGGTTTCTGTAACGTGTATATTATCTTTTAGATTTCTGGAGAAGTGTACCCCTAAGTATTTATAAGAATTACATTCATCTAGACTAAGGTTACCCATTTGCCACCTTGTAAGGGGATTCAGCCTCTTACCCACTACCATAACCTTGGATTTCTGTTCGTTAAACCTAAGCTTGAATCTTAAACCAAAGTCAGCCGTAATATGTAACATATGTTTTAACATCTGTTCGTTCTCTGCGAGAAGTACAACATCATCCGCGAAAAAGAGTCCGCTTAGTAAGGTGTCCCCATCTAATCGGACTCCCAGACCATGGAGTTGGAGGGATTTGGCTAATTCATTCATATAAAGGGAAAACAGAGTAGGTGAAAGGACACATCCCTGTTTTACCCCCACATCGGAGTCAAAGTAATCAGTCTCGATATCGTCAAACACTACCTTATTAATTACCCTATCATATAGCTTGTCAATAATGTTCCAAACACCCCCCTGAATGCCATTTTGCAGTAACACAAATTTTAGTCCTTGCCGCCAAACCAGGTCGAAAGCCTTAGATAGGTCAAGAAAGGCCATATAAGTGTGTTTCCCATATGCCTTACGAATGGCGCTGATCCCCTTTAAGCAGAAAATGTGATCTTCCGGGCGTCTGTCTTTTCTGAAAGCCCCTTGGATTTCCCCTAAAATATTATTTTCCTCTATATAATTTGATAGCTGGGATTCGATAACCTTGTTGAATACTTTGCTCACACATGAAGATAGGGTTATACCTCTGTAGTTGTTTAGATCCTTGGTGTCACCCCCTTTGTGGATGGGTACAATAATACCTACCTGCCAGTCTCTTGGAATGTCTCCCTTACAATAACAATACTTGAAGAGAGCAGTGATGGAATTTAGCATTGCATCACCCCCTTCCTTTAAGAACTCATTAACTATCTGGTCCTGACCGGGGCTCTTGTTGTTTTGAGTGCTCTGAATTGCAGCTCTTACTGACTCTTCTGTGAAGGATACTTCTTCCATGGTAGCTTTCCTATTGCTTGTTATATCCCCAGAACGGATGGGTGGTATGCATATTCTGACTATTGTTGAGAAGATGTCTTCTTCACTACCCTGTAGGGCTTTGTCCATTTGTCCCAAGTTATACCAATATTGTCTAATGTTACCCTTTAGATTTTCTTTCCCAGAGATCAGGTGTTTGTTACTTGTGTTGACAGACCACATTGCATTGGGTCTTCCCTGTCTCATTTTTGGCCTAAGCATCTTCCAGAATTCCTTAGTAGCTTTACCCCCCCTCTGATTACATTCCATTAACTTCTGTTTTTTCTTTGCCATTATATTATCTTTAATAACTTTTTTAGCTAATGTCCTCTTTACTTGATATTCATTCCAGAGTTGCTCCCCTACATCCTGGTCTTTGGTGAGAGGGTCTTGTTTTGTCCATGTTCTGTGTGCCTTGTTGGCTTCTCTCCGGTCACTGATGGCTTTTTCTATTTCCTCGTTCCAAGTATACGACTTTCCCCCCAGTGTAATAAGTTTTTTGCCAATAGTGCGATTCGCTGCCCCCAAAACCTTTCCCTTCCAGTCCTCGTAGACCTCTTGAACTGGTGCATCATCGTCTGGGGTCCAGTTTTCAAGGGCCTTGGAGATCTCCCCCCTAAAAATATTCCAGTCTTGGTTTGAGGTAATGTTCCATCTTGATGTTTTCCTGGGTTTATTATTAGTATTATTTGGGTGAGTGTTCGTGATAAACATGTCTAGAGTAATTACATTGTGGTCACTGCCTAGGTTTAGGGTGCGTTCATCGTCAATACGGATTTTATTGGTCATGCTTTTCACATTGTCAGATAGCAATATATAGTCAATAGTAGATTGTTGTGCATTGCGGAACCAGGTTATTGAACCTTCACACTTATCTAGGCAGTTAGCTATTACCATATCACTGTCCTCAGCAAATGATAACAATGCCCGTCCATTGAAGTCTACTTTGTCAGAACCGTTAGGGATTACTGAACCGATTTTACCATTAAAATCTCCCATCAATACCCTATTATTAAGTCCCATGCTCTCGAGAGTAAGTGTGTCCACAAGAAGCTGGTGAAAGAGACTTGTGACCTTGTCATTGTCTACTCCTGGATTTGGGAAGTAAACAATCCCTACAACGAAAATGTCTCTGAGTCCCAAGCACACTTTGACCCACAATCTTTCATGTTCGTCTTCCCTTGACCCCAGTACATTATCATCAAGGATCTGGATGTCATGTCTAAGCAATATTCCTATGCCTCCCCCAGACTTCTTCCCAGTAACGTTCCCTCTATTTTTTCCTACCCAATTGAAACCTTTTATGTTCAGCTGTTTATCCTCCTTTAGGAAGGTTTCGCACAGGCCAAAAAGACTGAGGTCTTCTGTGTGGAGTAGCCGTGCTAGCTCGGTTTGTTTTGAACTAACCCCCCTAATGTTGTTGTACCCAAAGATCACCCCCCTAGTGGCTGACTTACTAGTCTTACCCCCCTTACCCCTTCTCACCTTTTTCCTTTGTTTGTCTCCGTTGTTTCTTGGATTCTTCAACACTACTCTGTCTCTCACCTCCACAGCTGTAATGTCTGTATTGTTCAGAGTACTCAACGTGTCCGTATTCATACTTAAAATTTCAAAGGAATTGCTGACTTCTACATTATAACTGTTGACAGTTACAAAGGAGGTGGCAATGTCTTCTTTGCCTCTGTCTCAGTGTCCGCACCATCTGGCTTTATGACCCAGCTGGTTGCAGTAGTTGCATCTGACCGGGCCTCCATGCCTGCAGACTTTGGTCGTATGGCCTCTTTCACCGCAGAAGTGGCAGGGTGGTTCTCCTGGAATTCCCTGATGATTCCTCTGGGGGTACTGCTGCCAGTAGCTCTGCATGTGTCCTCTGCTGCTGAGATCCTCATGTGTAGAAACTGCTGGAAACTGCTCCCATCGACTTCTCATGTTCAATCTCTTACTGTCTCTCTGCATGTGAGCTCTGTTGTCTTCCCACGGGCGGCCAGTTCCTCTAAAGAGAGGACTGGGGGCTGGCGGGGGCTGGCCCCATGGTCCATGTGACTGTCTTCTGTCACTCCTTGTATCACCTCTTGGGTACCCCCTCCTATTCTCTGGGAAGCGGGGTGCTGAGGGAGCTGAGAGGATATTGGGGACTACTTCCCTTATGTTTGAGATGAGACGTGATGCACCTCTGTTCCTGTTGATATGCAACAGGTCTCTATCATACAGAGTGGTGTCCAGTTGTCCATTACGGTACATAAAGGTACCTTCGTTGTCTACAAACAGAGCCCGTTTCTCTTCTGCGACTTTTTGTAGTACCTTATTAGCTGGTTCTACTTTAGTGGCAGGGAGGTCACTGTCTGCCCTGGGGCAGATCCCTGAGAACACGATTTTGGCTTGCGGGAGTGAGGAATTTACAGTTGTGCACAGCTGCTCAGCTTCCTTCTCCAGTTGTGCAATATCCTGTTCATCATCAGACTCAGTAAGGTTATTTGTGCCTGCATGCACCACAATGTGGGAGTACGGTTGCAGGTCGGAAACACTGAGCTCTTGAGAGATGTCCCTCATTGTACGACCTGGTCTAGTGCGCACCACAGTATCACAAAGGCCTCTAGGGTTAACGTATTTCAGGTTAGAGTCACCTATTAAGAGGATCTTATTATGGGTTCACCACACCACGAAGTGGTGTGGTGAAACCATATTGCTTTTTCTGATGTTTCTTCTTCTTCTCCTCCTCCTTCTCCTCCTGCCATTTTTTAAATGGATTCAGCTTCTTCATTTTAGGGCCCAAGGTCCTGAAATTTGGTATGGATGTACAGTGGGCAAATACCCCTAGGCGTTTTTTAAATTATTGTGATACAGGCTTTTAGAATGGTTTTATTTGAGTTTTTTTGCTGTATTATAGCAAATGTATTACTGTGTTAGTGTACCGTGTTTACCACGTCTGGGCATGAGTCATCACAATGGAATGCAGGGCATCAACCAATAGGCATGCAGCTTTCCTCTATACTTCTTGCTGATTGGCTGTTGGGATTTAACTTGATTAACACAAGCACAGAGCATTTCCACCTGCACAGAGCATTTCTTGCTGATTGGCTGTTGGGATTTAACTTGATTAACACCTGCACAGAGATTTCCATACTGACAGTATGTCTTTATTCAAGTGTTTTGGTAGGTATTTCAAGCTTTTCTGCTCCAGCATTGGAATGCGGGGCATGAACGTTTTTTTATTTATTTTGAAAATCAACAGTTTGCATTATGCAATTACAAATCCTAACCAATAAAGTAGGAAATAGCTATCCAACTGTTGTTTTAGTTGTATGTTACTTCATATTATAGTTATATCAATGTAAATCATTGTTTTCCCTTGTGTTTCTCATTCTTTCCCTGCCATGACGTCGTAAAATGTGGTGAACCCATCGCTGTATTTGCTCCAAAGCAAATATTGGCCTTTCTAGTTAGGCTCTGTGTTTGGGGTTGGCTCCTTATCATTAGAGTGGAGGGCAGTGCTGGAATGGTCTGTGTGACTCGTAGAGTTTGTCCTTTCCAGTGTTGCCCGGTCTGCTGCATCCACTCTGTCGTCCAGGGCTTTCTCTAGTCTGGAGAGTCTGTTGCTAAGGGATGTTGTCCTCTCCAGGGTGGTTAACATATTGGACATAGACTGCTTCAGTTCGGCTATGTGGCTTCTCAGGTCGAGTGTAGCTTTCCTGGCAGATGACAGTTCTTCTTTCAACCGTTTTACAGTAGACGGGAGAACCTTGCATTCAGGACAAATCCAGAAGCCGAGACAATCATCTTCACCCGAGACGTTAAAGAGTATACGCTTAACCTCAGCGGAGCAGTTGCCGAAAGTTCGGATTACAGAATTTGCTTCTGTGTACAGCTTGCGGGTTTGTTTACAGATGGAATCGTCGTCAGAAAGGTCCGGTGTAATTTGGACGCCAAGGTAGGTGACCGAAAGCACATAAGGGAGGGGTGTACCGTACAGTTTCACAGATGGTGGCGTACTAGACAATCGGCTTCGGTGACAGATTATTGCCATAGTAGTGAAATTGAAAATGC